TCCTTCCTTCCTTCCTTCCTTCCCTCCTTCCCTCCTTCCTTCCTTCCTACCTTCCCTCCCTCCCTCCTTCCTTCCTTCTTTCTTTCCTTTCTGGGGCTTGAACTCAGGGCCTGGGCACTGTCTCTAAGTTCTGTTTGCTCAAGGCTAGCATTCTATCACTTTGAGCCACAGTGACACTTGAACTACCTGACTCAGTGAATTATTTCTTATGATATTATTGCAATATTAGTATAGCCAGGTGCTGTTGGCTCACACCTGTAAGCCTAGCAACTCAAGAGGCTGAGATGTGAGGAATGCAGTTCAAAGCCAGCTCAGGCAGGAAAATGTGTGAGACTCTTATCTCCAGTCAGCCACCAGACAACCAGTAGTAGCACTGTGATTCAAAGTGGTAAGGTGCTAGCCTTGAGCACAAGAGCTCAGGGAGAGCATCCAGACCCTGTGCTCAAGTTCCATGACCACCACCACCACCACCAACAAAACCCCCCAAAACAAACAAAAACCCACCAAACAGTATTAATATAAATGCTCATCCAGACATTATATCATCATTGTTAAAGCTTTCCAGACAGTTATAAAATTGAAAGCTTTTTTTTTAATGGTAAGAAAACTTCGTGGAGTTTTTCTGAGTAAGTAAGCAAGCAGGCAAGTAGTCATAAAGCAGAAAAGCAGAGTGTGGATGCTCTAGAGGAGAAACATCTGACAGTTATTTCTTCATAGCAGGGAATGGCAATCTTTTTTCTAAAGTGCCCGAGGGGTACTTATTTTAGGGAGTATATGCCAGATAGTACCTGTCACATCTCTTCATCTCTGTCTTGTGGTATAAAAGCAACCACAGTTTATATATAAATAGGCAGGTCTTTATTTGGATACAAAAATATGTATGTTTACTTTTTATATGTGAAACTATGTGAATCATCTTGGAAGTTTAAATTTTTTATGGTAAGTTGAAAGGAGGTTTCTTTGATTCATATAACTATAGGTATAATTTTGTGCAAAATGAATCACCAGATGAATTCAAGTCCTATGACCAATAACAATAGTAAGTAAGCAAGCAGACGAGCAGTCAAAAAGCAGAAAAGCAGAGATACTTAACAGAGTATGGGTGCTCTAGAGGAGAGATCTCTGAAAGTTATTTCTTCATAGTAGGGAATGGCAATCTTTATATGGGTATAATTTTGTACAAAATGAATCACCAGATAACCAGAAGTAGCACTGTGGCTCAAAGTAGTAGAGTGCTAGCCTTGAGCAAAAAGACTTCATTTATAAAGAAGTATGCACACCAAGTTGTCATACTAAGGGGCTAAGAATGGAAGGGAGTGAGAGATTTTTTTTCTTCATTTAATATATATTTTTTAAAAAGCGTACATTAGTTTTACAATGGGGAGATTTCACTTTGTCATTTCCATACATGTATATAACCTTACCCCTTTACCACTCCGTTTCCCATCCCCTTTTCTTTTTTTGTTCGTCATAGATCATGAACTCAGGGCCTGGGGACTGCCCTTGAGCTTTTGTGATCAAGAACCGCAGTGCCACTTCAGTTTTTCTTTTTTTTGGTTGGTCGTGGGGCTTGAACTCTGGGCCTGGGCACTGTACCTCAGCTCTTAAGCTCAAGGCGAGCGCTCTACCACTGGAGCTACAGCGCCACTTCCGATTTTCTGGTGGTTTATTGGAGATAGGAGTCTCATAGTCTTTCCTGCCCGGGCTGGCTTTGAACCGCGATCATCAGATCTCAGCCTCCTGAGTAGCTAGGATTACAGGCGTGAACCACCAGTGCCTGGCTCCACTTCAGTTTTTCTAGTGGTTAATTTCTAGTGGTTAATTGACTTTGAACCTGATTCTCAGATCTCAGACTCCTGAGTGGCTAGGATTATAGGCTTGGGCCACCAGTGCCCAGCTCAATCCCCTCTTCTTAAAATGTTTTCAGCAAGTTCCATTGTTCTAATTTTCTATACACAAAGTTCATACATAGGCCATATTCATCCTCATTAATCTGCCTTGTTATTTCAAACTCTTCCTGCTGATACACCCTCCCCTGCAAAAATGAAACCTGTTTCATTTTCCTGTAACATAAATTTACTCTTTCATATAGTTTGTGTTGTTCCTAAGATAATACTGCTTATTTGTTTAAATGATTAAGAAAACAAACAAGCAGGTTCATGCCTATAATCCTAGCTACTCAGTTGGCTGAGATCTGAGGATCTGGGTTCAAAATCAACCCTGGCAGGAAAGTCCATCAGACGTCAATTAATTACCAAAAAACGCTAAAAGTAGAGCTGTGGCTCAGTGGTAGAGTGCTAGCCCTTGAGCAAAAATGCTTATAACAGTTATCCAGATAGTAATGTTACATCACAATCTGAACATTTACCATTCCCTTCCTCATATCCATTCTCATCTTTTTGATATTTTTGACAGTTTTGCCAACTTGTTTCCTCCAGGGGCAGTGTTTATGTTGTACAACAACATAAAAAAATGATGAGGATTACTATATGAATCTGTTAGAGACCAGCATTCTGTGGTGTATAGGATGTTCCTATTCAAGTATGTTAGCTGTGCTTGAGGTTGAGAAAATCTGGTAAAATACATGTTAGTTTTGTTATCTTTTAACACTGATTTTCTGTTTTTCTATTTCATTGATCTTCTTTATATCTGCTTAGCATTCAATTTCAACTTGTTTTTCCATTTTCTTATAGAAGTTAGGTTATTGACTTTGAGACCTTTCTTTTGTAAGTATTTTCAGTACCTAAAAATAAAAATACTTATAAATTTCTCTGCAAACACTGCTATAAGTATATTCTACAATTTTTTTTTTTGTTGTTGTTGTTGGTTGTGTAGCTTGAACTTTGGGCCTGGGCGCTGTTCCTGAGCTCTTCAGCTCAAGACTACTGCTCTACCACTTTGAGCCACAGTGCCACTTCTGGTGTTTTGGTGGTTAATTGGAGATAAAAGTCTCATGGACTTTCCTGCTGGCTTTGAACTGCAATCCTCAGATCTCAGTCTCCTAAGTAGCTAGGATTACACGTGTGAGCCACTGGTGCCTGGCTCATTCTATAAATTTTGATGTTTCATTTTGGTTGTCATTCAGTTTAAAATATGCTTTGTATTTTTTCTTTGACCTGTGATTTATTTAGAAGGTTTTTAATTTCTCAATATTTAGGATTTCCCATAGTTTTCCTGTTTATTTCTAAGTTAATTCCATTGTAGCTGAGAATTTACTTTGTATGATTTCAATTATTTTGAATTTGTTGTAACTTAATTTATAGTTTGTATATATTCTCTTCTAAAGAATGTTGCATGTATACTTGAAAAGAATGTATATTCTGCTGTTGTTGGGTGGAGTATTCTATAGATGTCAGTTAAACCAACTTGGTTGATAAGTGTTCATATCTTCTATACCCTGTTGATTTTCTGTGTAGGTACTCTATTACCAAGAGTTGAATATTGAAATCTCCCATCTGTTATTGCTGAACTGCATATTATCTCTTTAGTTTTGACAAGACCTTACACATTTATTTTGAGAGTCTGTTAGATATGTATACCCTTAATAGTTTTATCATCCTGATGGTTTGACTTTCATTATGTCCCTTTTGCTTTCTGGTAATATTTTTAGACTTAACAGTGTTTTTTTCTTAACTTAAAATGTAGACACGCCAGCAGTTCTATGATTATCATTTACATATTAAACCATCATACATCATTTTTGTTTAGAACTTGTTCATGTTTTAAAATTTGAAGTGTTTCTTAAAGATAACACTGTCATATCAGACTTTCAACTTAATATACATATTGATGTGACAATTTTTACATGCTATTCTGGTATTTTCTATTTTAAAATAGAATGTAGTATATAGGTAAGTACATTTGTCATACTTATAAGCATTATCAGTGTAGCAGCAGGGAGTAGAGATTACCAGTCTATTTTAAATGGGAATGTGGCTCAGTGGTAAGAGTGCTTGCCTAGTATGCATCAAGCCCTGGGTTCAGTTCCTCAGTACCACATAAACAGGAAAAGCCGGAATTTGCACTGTGGCTCAAGTGGTAAAGTGCTAACCTTGAGCAAAAGAAGCTCAGGGACAATGCCCAGGCCCTGAGTTCACAATCTCCAGGACTGGCAAAAAAAAAAAAATCTGTATATTAGGTTTGAACTCATAACTGTGCTTGCTAGGGAATTATTCTATCACTTGAGTCATGCCCCCAGCCTGCCATTTGTATTTCCTACCTTTTACATTCCTCCTATCATCTTTTACTGCCTTTTTTTTTGTGTTGACATTCTTAACTTTTGACAATTTTAGTATTTTTCTTAGTGGTTTCGGTGGAGATTAAGATGTTGTTTTTCATTATAGTCTCAATTCTAGTAAAATATTGAAACTTTCTTCTAATATAGCACTAGGTATTTGAATTATCCATGTTAATATTGAAGTCTCTCTAGATCATGGTAGAATCTGAAGTAGAGTAGAAAACACTTAGTTTGCACTTAGTATGAAACTTAAGCACAATGGTGCTGGATGTTAATAACAGAAAGGTGTTAGAGCCTACTCTGCTATGTTCAAAGGAAGATAGAGTTCCCTCATCCCATGGTGGAGAAAATTAATGGCTTATTAGCAATGAGCACCTCTACCTTCTGATACTATTATATGCACTCTTACTTTAAAATGATTTGCCTTTATTGAATCACTGGTGTTTAAAATAATACATCAGGATATAATGGATCTTTGAAAGAATATATTGTCTTAGGAGTTTATTGTTTTTGTTGAGGCAACGGGGCGAAGTAGGGGGTAAAGGGTAGGTTAGTTGTCAGTGGACCCATATACTTAAAAAAAAAGAGAGAGAAATTTAATTTCCCAGCACAAGCAAGTGTTACCATTTATAGGTAAGTAAATTTGTTATTTTTATAAGCATTATCAGTGTAGCAGCAGGGAGTAGAGATTACCAGTGTTTTATAAATTATAAATTTTCTTTTTTGAGAGTGGGTTTCACTGTGTAGTTCAGGTTGGCCTTAAACTTACTATGTAGCTCAAGTTGGCCTCAAATTAGCAGTCTTCCTGCCACAGCCTCTAGATTGCTGGGATTATAGCTGTGATTAGCTATAAATCTTCATGTCACTTATGAGCATTTTGAAAAATGTAAGGTTAATAACTGAATGTGTTACTACAACCCTTTTAACTTCATTGGAATACTTACTAGGTTGAAAGTGAATTGCTTGTGTTCTATTTTTAAAATCTTAAAATGTGAATGGAATGGCATTGTCTCATAGTAAAAGAACTTGTGGTATTAGTATTTAGGAGTGAACAAGTTGAAGAAGGCCACCAAATCACTTGCATAATGTTCTACTAAAAGAATTCCTGTTACTCTTTGCAAGGGGCAGTAAATTTGTGAAAAGAACCTAAGCTTTAGATTCTAAAACACCTGGGGTCTTCTGGTCTGTTTTATTCATTCACTTAGTAACTTTTTTTTTTTTTTTT